TTTTTTTTTTTTAGCTTTTTAAGATGGTATCTCTGTACAGCTCTGGCTGTCCTGGAACTCAATCTGTAGACCTGGCTGGCCTCAAACTCGGGTCTGCCTGCCTGGGTCAAAGGTGTACGCCAGCCAATACCTGGCAGACTTGGAAGTCTAGTGTCAGCCTGCTGGGGCAGGTATATATCACCAAGCCCAACACATTTATCATTCGTTCTTTATAGAATTTTTGTGGTGGTGGTTTTCTTTTTTTCTTTTCTGGTTTTTTTGTTGTTGTTTTTGTTTTTTTTAAGACAGTTTTGCTGTGTAGCCCAGAGTGGCCTTTGAAATCTTACAGTGTTGTCATTCAGCATCTGAAGTTCTAGGCTTGCTACCAATTTTTGTGAACATTTCATTTCATGTTTTTTTGTGGGGGGGTTCAAGACAGGGGTTCCTCTGTGTAGCCCTGGCTGTCCTGGAACTCACTCTGTAAACCAGGCTAGCCTCGAACTCAGAAATCCACCTGCCTCTGCCTCCCAAGTGCTGGGATTAAAGGCGTGCACCACCACTGCCCGGCTTGTGGACATTTTAAATGACAGCTGTGATTGCTCACCTTACTGGGAAAAGCTGGACTGATACATAGTTTTCCTTGAAAAATGTCTAGATGAGGCTGTGACATCTTCATTGTCATATGGCCTGCCAGAAAGCATGTTCGTCAGATGTGACACCACATGCCCATAACCCAAAAACTTGGGAGTTGGAAGCAGGAGATTGAGAGTTAGAGGCTAGCCTTGGCTACATGGCAGATTTGAAGGAGTCTAAAGTGAAATGAGAGACTTGTCTCAGTAAACAGAACAGTAAATAAGGGGTGTGGGGGGCAGCCATCATCAGAATGTTCTCCTTTAGGGCTGAGTCGCATTGCCTCAAATTTTCATGGAATACTTATTTTTTTAAAAAATTAATACATATTTTGTTTTTGGGTGCATGTGTGCCATGGTGCATGTATGGAAATCAGAGGACAACTTGGGAGAGTCAGTTTTCTGCTGCCATTTGGGACCAAGGGATAGAACTCAGGTTGTCAGCAGGCACTTTTGTCTGCTGAGCTACCTTGCCTGCCTAGAAGGGCTGCTGAAGATTTTAGGTTTTACATTGAAGCCATTAGGGTCTCCCTTTTCCATTTGTAGCTAAAGCAAAGCTACAAAGCCAGAGTAAGCCAGAATGCCTTTCCTCAGCTCTTTATTTCTTTTCCTCTCTTTTTAAGAGTCTTTCTATAGAGAGTCCTTTTTCTTTTTTCTTTTCTTTTTCTAAAGGGCAGTGTCTCCCTATCTTAGCCCAGACTGGCCTTGAACTTGAGGTCCTCCCGCCTCAACCTCCTGAGTGCTGAGATTATTTATAGTCATGTACCACCACCACCACCACACTGGGATTCTGGTTCTTGTTGAAAGACTTGAGAACCACCAAGTTGTCAATGTCGGTAAGTAACCAGGGAGCAGTTCATCTCCAGGCCCATGTGCTAGTCATGGAGACATTGCAGCAAGCAGTGATGATTCAGGAATCCAAAACCAGGTACTCATCACCAGGAAAAATAGCAGATATTTCAATGGCAGCATTAACAGTCATGTTCAGGTTCTCACAAATGAGTGTTTAGAGGGAAGTCTTTTGAGTTGATGAGATGGCTCAACCAGTAAAATGTATTTGCCACCAAGCTCAACAACCCAAGTTTGATGGCCAAGACCTGTGTGATGGGAGGAGAGAACTGATTCTTTTTTTTTTTTTTTTTGGTTTTTCAAGACAGGGTTTCTCTGTGTAGCCCTGGCTGTCCTGGAACTCACTCTGTAGACCAGGCTAGCCTCGAACTCAGAAATCCGCCTGTCTCTGCCTCTCAAGTGCTGGGATTAAAGGCATGTGCCACCACTGCCCGGCAAGAACTGATTCTTTTTTTTTTTTTTAAAGATGATTTATTTTATATACATGATGAGTACACTGTAGCTGTCTTCAGACACACCAGAAGAGAGCATTGGATTCCATTACAGATGGTTGTGAGCCACCATGTGGTTGCTGGGAATTGAACTCAGGATCTCTGGAAGAGCAGTCAGTGCTCTTAACCACTGAGCCATCTCTCCAGCAAGAACTGATTCTTAAAGTTGTCCTTTTACCTCCAACATGTGATGTGGCACACATACACACACACATACACACATACACACCCTAAGTGTCTGAAATGGAGGAGGGTCTTTAGAGTTGAGAGCATATGTAGTTCAGTGCTAGAGCATTTGCTTAGCTCTTAATGAGGACTTTGGTATCATAAAAGAATAAAAGTTACATGAGTGGGGCATGGGGGCATGGGTCTTTAATACTAGCACTTGGGAGGCAGAAGCAGG